GTAGGTTTGATTTTTAGGGTTTTTTTAATCATTCGAGTGGACGACTTGTTCAATAAGTTTGCATTCTCTAAAAACCAAATGCACAAGGAGAAAGAAAGACTATCGCTATCACCAAAAATTATAGTCTCTCTCTCACTCGTTTGTTTCTTACCAAACCGAGTTTCAAAGAAACATGTAAAGTGCAAGTTAAATTGCGAGTCTCACTCTCACCTCAAAAGTTTCATCTTAAGCCAAAGGTATACCAGTTCGGTTCCTTTCCTTACCTTACGGATTGCCAACACAAGTTGAAAGACAACGACTATATTGGTATCAACTAAAAATAGGGCAAAACCCAACTAGTTTTGAAAAAAAAAATCATTGAAATTGAACAAGAAAAAACATGATGCAATCTCTATCTCTATCTAACCATCACATATATAACCCAAACAAACAAAATAAAAACACATTTTCAAAATCCTTAATCAATACTATTACCACCTAAAATTAGTTCTCTTTTCGTTACAAAAAGAACCTAGGAATCCCGAGACTTCATAGCCTCCAAACCCAACTTAATCCGTTTTCCAATCAACTATTTTTTCTTTACAATAAACTCCAACTTAACTTGCATTAAATCCCTCCATTCCTTTTCCAGTTCCACCAACTTTTCATTTCTAACCATCCCCAGACATCAACATTATGCTCTTCTTCAAATCGTCGAGCGAGTTTTCACCATCCATTGATGAACGCAAATATGGATACTTACCCTAGAAATCCTCACTCCCCTCCTCTTTTCCATCCACTTCCTCATTTGACACTCGTATTTCTCTTCTTCACACTCGACCCCATCCCTCTTGCATTCATTTCATCATTCACCTTTTGTTTCTTTGCAGTCACATTCACCCTCTTCCCCATCTTCAAATTCCCCTCCTCTCTCTTATTAGCTTCCTCATTTGAACCACTGCGTTTGCTTCTTCAAATTCCCTTTCTTTCCCTCTCCATTCCCTTCCTCACCCGAACCCCTCTTCATCTTGTTCACACTCACCTTCCCTTTTTCCCCATTCGCTTCCTCACTCCCCTTTCTCAACAAGGCCAAAGTAATCCCTCCTCCTACTCGTCCTCCACCATCGCTTCCACCACCACTAATAATTTTTCCACTCTTTTTACCTGGAGTTGACCTTATTGCCCTCCTCGATGCCGGCGGCACCCTAAATCTTCTTTGCTAACTCCACACACTCCCAATAATGTTGTTTACTAAAAATCTCATCTATCTCATTCTCATTCTTCCCCACCTTAGTGAAATACTTCTTCTTCAACTTCCCGATTTTGTCCACAAGCTGTTTATTAGTAACATTAACATGAAGTGAGTCCTTCGGAAACCCATGAAAATCACCACTATCCGCAAAAGAATTTTTCTTTTTCTCATTTTGGTATTGACTTATGCCATTTAATATCACAATCTCATCTTCTTCACTCCATAAACGGTGAGACCCCTCGCCCCGGCTCCTCCTCGCCTTTCTTAGCATCACCGCCCTTCTCCATCTTGGGGTCGCTCCGGCTTTGGGTTGGGTTTGCGCTTCGACAAAATGGGCTTGATGATGATACCAAAAAGAGAGGGTGATGCTAGCTCGGTTGACTCGGCGTCTTTTGAGTCGGTTTTCGATTCGGGTTTTGAAGGTTTTGAGGGCGGTCGAGTGGGTTTCTCTTTCTCTTCTTCATCATCATCATCTTTTTCGTCGTCTCCATCGTGTTCACGGCCACCTTCGTCATCGTCTTGTTTCTCATCGGCATCATTTTGCTGGGTTTGGACGGTGCCGTTAGAAGTTTCTTCTTCTTCTTCGCTATCGGTTTCTTCTTCTTCCTCGGAAGATGAAGCGGCGAGTGGGGCTTCTTCAATGGGGCGTTTTGGAGCCATAACCGTGATCTTTTACCGAGAGAGAAACAATGGGTGTTTTTTAGTGTTTTTTCTTTGTTATTTTCCAAGGCAAGATTGAGCGACGGGAAGGGAAGGGGAATGCGTATAATTTATAAGCATAAGGGATCCTGCTTCGGTTTCTAGAATTTACTATCCGATTACGATAAGAATGCGACGAGAATAAAATTATTTTATATCTATTTTTTATAAATTTTATATTTAAAAAATATGATTTATTCTTTTTATATATGAATTTTTATATGAAAAATTATAACAAATTAAACTCGAAATATTAATAAAAAAATTTAAAAAATACTTTTAAAATATATGTTTTATAAAATTACGGTAAAAAATTATAATTAATATATGAATTTGTATAAAAATTAACTAATAAAAAATAAACTAAAAATTATACGTTTTTTTTTTAGAATAAATAAGAGAACTAGAGATGAAATTATGAACTAAAAATTCTTGAATGTAATTAAGCATGACCTTAATCTTTATATATAGTTTATTAAACTAATTCACTAGTTTTATTTTTTTTTTAATCAAGATTGACCATCCATCCTCAACTTAGTCTTTAAAAAAAAGCTTTCAAATTAATTTTTCTCGTCTTTTCTGTATTCTATAGTTTTTTTAAATAATAATAATAAATTGAAAAAATATGAAATTAACAAAATGACTAAGTTATAAGTGATTGAAAAACATAAAAATTAAGTCTATAGTGTACTTGGAACTATGAGATTAATTAATTAATTTTGTGAAACTATAAGAATGAAATGATAATTCACTTCTTCAAAGCTTTCTATTGCATTTCCCACTTCTAATGTTAAAAAAATTATAAAAACATGACTAAAACAGAAGTAAAACGTAAAGCAATGAATTTAATACGAAAAAAAGTAGGAAATTACAATAGAGATGGAAAAAATAATGAAGGAACCCCTACAATTGTTAATCCTTTACACATTATTTGATGATTCTGAATCTTTTTTTTTTTTAATTCTTTTAACCTAGGCATGTGCAAATCGTAATTTAATCAAATTTAAGCATTCTTGGAAGGGGAAAAAAAACGAAGAAAGATAAAAATTTAATCTTAACCAAATAAAAACAACTATTTATTACTAGACTACATCTTTAATTATCTATTACTGTTTGATTATTTTTTGTTTTTAAATAGATGAATTATTGAATTTGTTTCATGATTGGCACGTTGACAACTAGGATGAAGTCAATATTATCATATGGACTAAAATTCTTGATTATAATAAATAAATTTATTGATGAAAAATATATATGAACCGAGCGTGCCTTAGTTTAGAAGGAAGCTTTGGGCTCCATCCATTTCCTAAAACACTCAAGAGTCAAAACGTTGTTCAAACATTCCACCAAACATTACTAAAAAATCAATTTAAAAATAAATTATTGATTCCATAATAAACGAATTAATTTTCATAAAATCTTTTCTTATCAAAATTGTATTTATATCGAAGCTAAAGTTTATATTATAGTAATATAGAAGGTTTTAAAAAATATATATATAAAGGGTTGTATAAATAGTATGATCTATTTTTATTTGATGGAATTAAAGTTTACATTAAATTTGTACCGACATGAAATTTTAAGATATTTATAAAGGTAGAGGTTTTTTTTCGAATTCATCATTCAAATATTTTTAAATTAATTTATATATTAATTGAATTTTTTTTTTTTAATAAAGTAATGAAAAGATTGTATCAGATTCTATATTAATTAATTAATTAATTATCATATGCACTAAATGACTAAGTTATAAGTGATTGAAAAACATAAAATTAAGTATATAGTGTACTTGGAACTATGAGATTAGAGACAAAGCAATGTAAGCAAATTGTAGCTGGAACTAGTAAGCTAGCTAGGGCAGTGAAGGCAGGGAAATAGGCATTGGTGGCATAGAAGTGGTAAAATCATGGGCTGCACATCTTCCCTGGGTTGATTTTATCAGTAATTTTTTAAGGCCTCTGCTACGAAGGAGAGCCAGTCATATCGCATTGTAATTCTCGGACGCTCCTCTGACATGACTTCTCCAATATTCATCTTTTCTTCTTATTAGGCTAAATATAATTTTTTAACTCATTTAAACCATTAGTTACTCTCTTATGGCGAAAGAAAGGGATTCTGCACCAATTCTCGCAAGGGTGCCAATTTGATCATTTCTGTAATATGTTTTAATAAATAAATACTGAAAGTCGTCAGATATTATGGACCATCTCTCTCTTCTCTAGTATGGGATATTCTTTTAAAACGCCTAACTAAATAATTCAGATTGTATAGAAAATGCATGCGTTTACGATACGCAAATTCAAATTTCAATTTCAAACAAGTGGAGGAGCCGTTTCTGACGAGGAAGTAAAAACGAAAGAAAGGAGGGATCATTAGACGTGATACCGTGAAATGGGACTCTTGACATTTGGGGTGAGCATTCGGTTAAACGATTTGATTTTGTACAATTCGATTTGATTTTTGGTTAATCGAATTAAAAAAATAAAAACAAAAACCGAATCGAAATAAATTCGATAAATTCGGTTTGTAACCGAATTATTTCGGTTTAGTTTCGAAATATTTCGGTTTTAATCAAAATATTTTTCTATAAAAAAAAATCATTACAAAGAGATGTTTTGTACTAGCACTTAGTCCACTAGCCAATGAAATAACATCTTGTTATCAATTAATCCTTTTTATAAACAATCACAAAACCCTTGAAGATTTTAACTAAGCTTTAATGAAAACGAGTACTAGTTTAATAAATTTGCTCATTCAAACACATTATATCTCAATTAATTACATTCGTCACTTTCTTTTTTTACCCCAACGGTTCTCAAAATTTACTTTCCATTTGCGTGTTTCAATTTCAACAAGAATGAAGATTGAAAAGTTAGGGATTTAGAAATTAGAAAATTTTTTACTTTTATTTCGGTTTTCGATCGAAACCGAAATTTTTTTCTAAAAACCGAATCGAACCGAAATAATTTCAATTTTTTCGATTCGGTTTTATATTATATAACTTTATATTTAAAATCGAATCAAATTTAATAATTTGATTTTATTTTATTCGATTTTCGATTAATCGAACCGTTTGCTCACCCATACGTTTGTTCACCCCTACTGACATCATCATATCTGGCTGCGACTTCTCCTCTTTCCGATGTTTATTTTCACTAAACCCCTCTTTTCCGGGCTAATTCCATATTCAACCCACTCACTCTTCCTACTTCCCTTTTTACCCTCATGACATTCCCCTCCTTTCCCCCTACTTCACCCGACATCTGGGGGTTGTTGTAGTCATTATCCAAAATATCCTGAATTTAATTCGTAATAATGCGTACAGCTTGCGGCGAATTAAGGCGGCGGGTGTCAGGGGAGAGAACACTTCTTTTCATGCATATACCGAGGCCAACACATTTTGAAAAAATACAATTTCTTCTTCTGTTTTTCCCCCCTTATAAATTAATTTGTAGAAAGTGTGGACTTCGATGCTTGCGTTTACATTGCAGAAAATGAGAAATTATCAAGCGTCTTTGAATTCCACGTCATATAAGTATTTTTTTCTCATTCATTATATGTTATATGTAAATTTCTTTCATATGAAATAAAAAATTTTGATAAATAAAAAAAACCCTTCATCTTCTCCATCCTCCACCGTCTCTCTCTTGATAAATAAGTCTGGATAAACAACGAAAACGAATTGATAAATATTTCTTCTATCTCCAACTCCAAGTCTAGAAAAGACAAGTGTCTGGCAATAGCACTACCATGGTACTTTCCAATCTTTTCAGGATCTAAGTTGCAAAAGCCAATCACCGAATTGAAAATAGAAACGTGAAGGAGGGTTGAAAGAAGTCTACGTCCCGCCTGGGTTGAAAGAAGGCACCCCCATACTACCATTGGGTATTAAAAGCCAATCAACCCAGAAAAGACAAGTGTCTGGCAATAGCACTACCATAGTGCTTTGATTTTTGAGGGTTGAAAGAATTACGACCCAGGCGGTGCCTTTGAGCGTGAAGGAGGAGCTTGCAAATTGAAAATGGAAGACATTAACAGCTACAACTGTTCCTTCAATAGAGTATTCTTCCAGAATTTCCTTTATGTCTTCTGCAGGTTCAACAGTAGGAAAACCATACAAACTAATCGTCTTTCCCATTGTCCGGTCAATTTTAACTGCATTTTCTATGAAATATTTGATATTCCCATCACTCCAAGGCAATAGTTTTATAAACTAAGATAATTTGACATTTCTTTTCTCTTAAAGAAAGAGAATAGTTGTGATAGATTTTTTCAGGAGTAACTTAATTTGGGTTATTAGAATTTTATATTAACGAACACTTAAAACATGTTGTCTTTGAAATGATTAACCACTCTACCTATCTTTCAACACCAATATATACCCTGCCTTCCAAAGTCAAATCTACCTTTCTACAATTTTTGAATGAATAGTTTATCCTTATTATTACAATAAAGAAGGATCTTTTGCTAGGATATTTTGTTTGGTTTCTTCAATCATAAGATTTATGCAAATATTAGAGAACAAACTCAATATATCTCAGTGCTTCTCACAAAGCATCAATGCATCTAGAACACTTCTATATACAACGCAAGACTGCCTCACTTAACCTTAAAGTTAACACTTTCACTTGAGAATAGAGAACATATTTAATACTTCAAGCTACTGCCTTTCCCACTTTGGATGCGAGCATGCAAGATACAATGATAACTCGTGCCTTTCCTTGCTTAAAATTTTATGATTGAAGAAAACATACATTGAAGTCCATATACGAGGCATGCATGGTAAGTCATTCACAATCCATTAACTTGAATATTATGCAATAGAGAAGGTCAAATGCTGAGTCATTCTCTACCACAATAGAAGCTAAAAGTTAGGTTAAAAAAGTAATTGGCATTAGATGGTCAAAAATAGATCATCTATAGTGAAAAAAAAATATATTGGGAAAAAAGAAAGAAAGAAAGAGTTAAGAATGTCGTGCAGGCCATTTCTATAAATTTCCATCATAAACAGTTCCAAGCATTAAAAAAAAAAAAAAAAAAAACTGAGAAGCATAATATTACGTTCTAGAAACTTCAAGGGAATTGCTCCCACCAGTGTTCTCGGTTTGACTGTAGAATAGAAGCACATAGTTTTACATTTCCAAAAAATCAAGTTCCAATTCAAACAATCTAGTTTCGAGATTAAACTTTTAATGTGCCATGGATATTAAACAAGTAATTGAGCTTTATGCATTTAATCCAGAAATGAATTCCAATTCAAAATCACAAATTTACTCTGCATACAGCTTACATATATAAGAATTCTACTAAGCTTTGCAGAGAGCTAAAACAAAAAGGCAAACATTATGTACCAGCAAAAAGGAAAAGACCATTCACGAAATCCTACATGAAGGTAAGGAAAAAAGGTTTCAAGAAATTCATGAACCTTATTTGAAAATCTCAAAACTAGAATAAAATAATTTCAAAATGGCATGTAAGCCATAGATGGGACATTGGACTTCAAGACATCCTTACTATTCAATATAAACTAAAAAGCAAAGACTAATAGTTATTATGTCAGAGTAAAACCATTTAATACTAATAACCATAGAAAAGGAGGCTTTGGAAATCAGCACCCTTCTCCAGATGGGAGTGTTATGGGTCACTAAACAAAATTAAAGAACTACGTTTCATTGAGAATACCTGCTTCTAGATCAGCCATTTGAATGAGCATAAACGTGATGTTCACACCAGCTACACCAAATGGGTATTCCCATACTGATCGATCACCTTCTTGCTTTTGAAGAAGATCCTAAAAGGACTTCTACATGGACATGTTTGGCTACTTTCAAGAAGAAAAAGATGAATAGATTGCAAAAAATTAAAATAGTTTCTAATTAAAATTATATTAAACTAAAATGAACAATGAAACGTTATGAAAAAATGCCTAGCTTAGTTACCTCCAAAAATTCTTTCGAAATAGGCCTTGAGCAAATGACAGACAATATCATAATGCTCTACATTATAAATACAAATATCTGCACATCCTCTACCATCAGTTCCCAAGCCAACAGACATAAACCAGAGCTTACAATTGCTGTTGGGCCTAACGAAGATCCCCAAGTGTACCTATCAGTGTTAAAAAAAAAAAAAAAAAAAAAAAAAAAAAAAAAAAAAAAAAAACCCTGAAAATTTTGAAAGGGTTTGGAGAAGAAGCGTTGAAGTATTTTGCTCAAATGGAACTAGAAGGAATTCAAATGGATGATTTAATTTTTTCTTGGTGTTCTTACAGCATGGTGTTGTGCAGGCCTGTTATCTGAAGGCCTTCATATCTTCGATAAGATGACAAGTTCCTACAGGAATTCAGTTTTCTTTTTCTTTTTTCAAAGCCAAGATTGACCGAAAACTAAGGAAGGGGGGATGTGTATAATTTATATACCTCTTTAAGTAGGGTTGGTTTTTAGGGTTTCTAGAATTTACTATCTGGTTACGATAAGAATGGGACAGAACAAAATTATTTTATAATTATTTTATAAATTTTATATTTAAAAATATGATTTATTCTTTTTATATATGGATTTTTAAATGAAAAATTATAACAAATTAAACTGAAAAATTAATAAAAAATTAAAAAATACTTTGAAAATATATATATATATATTTTATAAAATTACATTAAAAAAAAGATTACAATTAATGTATGAATTTGTATAAAAACTAACTAATAAAAAATAATTTTTTTAATTTTTATTTAATACTGATAAGAAAATTATTTTTTAAAAGTATATGCATTTGATCTACATATATTTATTTATTTAAAAACTAATCAATAATATTAGCATGACAAACTATATTTGAATAATTAGATGGTTCCTTTAAAAAATTATTTAAATTATTTTATTTAAAAGAATTGGTTCTATAATGTTTTTAAAAAAATATCCAAAACAAATAATTGGTGTTATAAGTGAAGATGTATGATTAATTTTTAATAATATCGATGATTTAATATTTTTTATATACTTTTTATTATACTTAATGAACTGAGATAAATTATTTAAAATATATTTTTAAATTATACACACACACGCTATCATTAAAAATTCTAATATTTCATAATATATATTATATCAATTTATTTTTTCAAAATGGTAAAGCCATTATGTTTTAAAATTTTATATTAAAATGCATACCTATAGAAAAATAAATCACATTTATTAGTAAATAAAATTTTATATAAAAAATATTAATTGAATGAGAATTTTCATTAAAAAAATGATAAATTTAAAGAACGAATGTAAATAATAAAAGTAATATAATCTAAAATATATATTAACTTTAAAATATAAAAAGATAGTGTATATATTTTATCTTCGACTATGTTGCATGGAAAAACACAAATAATAACCTTTCATGTTTTAAAAATTTTGCCTAAAATTTTTTAATTAAAAAATTAAAGAAAAAAAACCAAAGACAATGCTTGAGCACGGGTCAAAATTGGCAGTGGTACGCTGAGGAAGGGGAATGTTTATAACTTATTCAACCGGGTTGGTTTTTAGGGTATTTAGGGTTTACCAACCGGGTTTTAAAATTTTAAAATTCTTTCATGATTTTTTTTTATTTTCATAAATTTTAATTTTTTAAAAAAAAATTTTTATTTTTCTTTGTGCATTGATTCTTATAAAAAATTATAATAATTTAAAATCAAATATTAATAAAAAATAAAAAATACTTTAAAAATATAATTTTCATAAGAACACATTAAAAAATAATATAATAAAATTACAATTAATGTATAAACTTATGTAAAAATTAACTAATAAAAAATAATTTTTATTCTAGTTTAATATTGCTAAGAAGATTATTTATTGAAAATATATGCATTTGATCTCTATATACTTATTTACAAACTAATCAATAATATTAGAATAACAAACTATGTTTCAATAATTAGATGTCTCTTTTAAAAAATTATTTCAATTATTTTATTTTAAAGAAATTAGTTTTATAATGCTTAAAAAAATATTTAGAGTAAACGAGTTGGTGTTATGATTGAACATATATAGTTAATTTTAATAATATCGATAATTCAATATATTTTTTTAAATATATCTTTGTCATACTTAGTGGATTGAGATAGATTATTTGAAATATATATATCAAAGCCTAGTGTTTGTAGGGATTGTATGTTTATTGTTTATGTTATTCATGTTTAGATTCTGCTAAAGAGTTAGGGGTATAGACAATTGAGTCGTTGTGGTCGTTGTAAGTCCTTAAGGTTAGGTAGTAAATCAAAGATATCACTTTCATAACTTGCATATCCCATGCTTTAAACCATAGTCTAGTTATGGACTCTATATTCTATAGGTCTACCTCCTTTACGAATTATTACGCTTCGATTCTTCGAATCAAAGAAAATAATTAATAGTGTAGAATATGTGATTGAAGATTTTGAAAAACATATTGATGATTGGGCTATACCCAAGATTCACAAAGATGAAATTTACAAAACCTCAAAATATAATCTTTTCAAAACCGATTTTACTATCAAGATCGAGGAGAGGGATATTCGACTTTTAAAACCCTTTGAAACGATTCACCTCCTCTCTTTAAAAACTCTTCAAAAAAACAAAGACAAAAACATCCATATAGGTTTAGTTCAAGTGGGGATTAAACCACTTACAAAAGAAGAATTGAACACCTCAATCTTGGCGAGTCCTTAAAGACAATAGGTTTACTAATTTCCGGGATTCTCTGCTTAGCTCTATAGAATCCGGTTTATGTAGTGGACCAATATCTTTTGATCGTTACCCAAACTTCACGGTTTACTTGAATGACAAAAAACATTCTGGAGTCCTTAGTACTCCAAATCAAAACCCACAATTATAATATGATGGAAGGATCAATCCCAATTGCATTGATCATAAGAACCCATTATAAGGTCATGAACTCTACCTTTGCCTTAAAACACAAAAGACAGATCAACTAAGGGAGAAACCCTTCTCCTATAAACAGATTGACCATATCCAATACCGTCATTCCCGGACCTATTAGGTGGAAAGATATAATCGTACCGGACGAATGGATTTTAGAAGGTATAAGCCAACTCGAATCTCTACCAATTCTAAAGATTCCAAAACCTAATACACAAATAAGGTCTATAGCTCAACATTTAGATGTGAGTGTTAGACTCTCATTTGACAAAAAATTTACCAATAGTAGATTTTCCGATGTTGCCTCTAGTTCTCAAACTTTTGACTTAGGTAGAATTTCAAACATTCCCTCTGTCATAAATTTACTCGAATAATAAGAGAGATACGAATTTAGACCAAGGTCTACCATTCCCTAGTATGCATCATAGGTTTTCAACTTCGATGTTCCAAATCTCGTTTTACAAAATATTGATTATTGTACAAACATCTCAAAACTAGATATTCAAACCGGGATGATTCTCCACCTTTATCTCCTACTCGCATCTACTATCACTAAAAATATTACAAATGAATGTAATGCTTTGTCCGATGATGCATTTGAAGTAGATAAAAAAATATCTACATAATAATTTCTATGCAAAACGTAATTTTGAAAAAAGAATTTGGTTCTTTAAAAACTTTCTTGACAACGGGAAAGATATTCAAAATGAATTTTATGAATTTATAAATCTATATAAAGTTCATATTACGTTCTTTGATTGGTTTGAATTGTATGTTAGTGATAACAATATTTTTTACCCTTTTATTAGAATCGTAAACCTTGTTACGACTAGAAACAAAACTCTTCTTTAGGAAGTAGAAGGAAAGACTATCCAGTCCGAACACCCTCCTCCTAGGAAACTCATATTCTCTCATGGAGAAGCCAAAATAGAAGCATGTCCTTACAAAATACCTAAGGATGATGACTCTGTCAATATCCAAAACATTGTGCAATAGAATAATTTTTCCAATGCCAACCTTCAAACCATATGAAAATAACTAGTTAGGATAGAAAACCATATCCGGAAGATAGTTGTTTCCCCCACAATATCCTTAGAAACCACCACTCGAAGACAAAAAACTTAAAAACCCCGTTTTTAAATCCTTTCGAGTTTCTAGGACAAGCCAACAACAAATCCAAACCAACAAGCTCGAGTTTCGAAAGCCATTAAATATCGGCTTAGTAAAATAGAAGTTTCCTCTGTAGGAACCTCTAAACAAGTAGCACTTGAGACACCTCAATCCCGTAGCGTCAATGTGTTAGACCAAAACTCGGAGACAAAATCTATCCCTAAAATTAATAAACTCCATTGGAAAATCCCTCCGCCTATGATCACCGCCCCGGACATAAGAGAAATGCCAAAAAAGTTAGCTCAACCTAGGTTTAATGCCACTTTCATTTACGAATGGAACATAGACGAACTCTCGGAGTATAACATCTTGAGCTTACTCCAGCAAATGACCATGACAACTAACACCTATAAAACCCAAACTGGAACTCCGGATCGTGCCATAGCAGAACTCCTTATTGTCGGTTTTTAGGTTAGTTAAAAGGATGGTGGGATTACCATCTCACCGCCCAATAACACCAAGAAATCCTAAATGCCATACAAACCGATCAAGAAAGACTCCTTACCTTAGATGATTTAGGTGAACCGGTTCAAGATGCTATGTCAACCCTCATCTTGATTATTTCCTTTCATTTTATAAGAGACCCTTCATGCCTAAAAGATAAAAATGCTAAACTCCCGAGTAACCTTAGGTGTAAAAAAACTTAGTGATTTTTAATATTATAAAACTACTTTCCTTACTAGAGTTATGCTTAAAGAAAACTCTAACTAACCCTTTTGGAAAGAGAAATTCTTTACGGGTCTTCTAATCCTCCTAGGTGAAAAGGTTAGAATTAGGTTTAAGGATGCCTTTGGTGACCAGATTCCTTATGAGCAATTAACCTATAGTGAACTTATTAGTCTAACCCAAAAAGAAGGACTCAAAATTTCTCAAGACCTAAAACTTCAAAAACACCTTAAGTGAAAGATGAAGAAAACCGAGATAGGAATTAGGTAATTTACGTAAACAATTCGATATTTCCACCTCAAAACCCTCGGGGTGTAAAAATAAATGTGATGCTAAAGCACATAGGAAATCCTATAG